TCATCATCACCCTCATCCTCATCCTCATCTTCTTCCGCCTCCTCCTCCTCCTCATCATCATCAACATCATCATCAACATCGTCACTATCACCATCGCCATCATCAGCATCACTCTTCCCTTAGCCAGCTATTTGCATAATTTTCTAATATGTAACTTATGATGTAACATGCATAACCTGTAATAATTATATGTATATGTATGCATGCATGGACGTAAGTAAGTAATCAAGTATGTATGTATGTATGTATGTATGTATGTATGTATGTATGTACGTATGTATGTATGTATGTATGTATGTATGTATGTATGTATGTATGTATGTATGTATGTGTGTACGTGTTTTTACAAATACCTTTATACACATATATATATATATACATATATACACATGTGTATGTATAGGTCCGTTGTTTTGACCGTAGCTACATCGGCACTGCATGTCTGTCTCCCTGTGTGTATAAACTATGCAAAACTCCCGCCGCACCTGCGACGTTCGATAGCGTCCTCGGCCCGAAGCCTGAACTTGGAGCCCGACGTCCCATCTTCGACATGGCTCCGGGATGCTCCATGCCGGAGTCCTGCCTGCGCTCGCAGACTACTGTTGGAGTCCCGCAGCTCACAGCTGCGGGCTCTGGGGTGTGTGGAGACTCTCAGCCCACAACCCTTGAAGCGGCACAGTTGTGTCAAGTGAAAGTTTGAAGAAGCATACGGCTTGTCCGAGGAGGGGCCAGGGTGCGGGAGGGCTGGGACCTTCCCAGAGAGCCGATGCCAGAAGCCTGACATTAATCTAGACATTGAGGTCTGATTCATTTGTAAGACTATCCTTTTTTCTTGCCTCTACAAGTATTCTACATTAAGGCCCTTATCTTACACCCCACACTGCGTTACCAGTACCACAGCCACCAAAAGAATTACCCAACGTCTGCACAGCGACGAGGCAAGATCAAGGCTGCTCGGGAAAACGAGGATGCCAGGCCCCCAGTGCCTTCCATAAAAGGGCTCGTTTAGGGGTTTAGGGTATAGGGTTTAGGGGTTTAGGGTTTTGGGTTTAGGGTTTAGGGTTTAGGGTTTAGAGTGAGGGTCTGGGGCGTAGCCGTAGGGCTTCGGGTGTGGCTTCGGAGTTTAGAGTTCAGGGTTTAGGCTTCATGGTCGGGCTTTTGCTGGGCGTACATATCGGGACATCAGCATTCCTGTAGTCCAAAGACGCGCCGGGCCTCTCCATTGCTTGGTGGGGTTTTACTGTTTAGGGTTGCAGTGTTTCTGATTTCGGGTCAAGGCTTTGGACCATGCAAGCAAGGAGGAGTACTAGCGATTGCAGCAATCTCATAGAAAGGCAATCATATCTTGCAGCCCACGGCTCTAACAAGAGCTGCAAACGAACTCTAAAGACCAGAGCTGCTGAGGTGAATACTCGGATGATGAAGGCAGAGCAGGCGGAGAAGCGGGCCCAAATGCTGGCGGGCATCGAGGCCTCGCCGGTTGTTTCCATCTCTGCAACATAAAGCAGATTGTGCCTTTCGAGGTGTCCTTTTGTTTCAGGTTTAGGATGCGGCATCTGCCGTCTCGCCACTTAACTTCAGGATCCAAGCCAAGGCTTCAAGGCTTCAATGCTCCCTGTTCCCATGGTCTTTTCCCTTTCTGTCGTCCCTTGATCTTCGGGCTTTGCTGTGCAGAGAGCTGTCTTGCCATTCTGGGCTTTCCAATTCCCGAAAAAAAGCTCTGGCCAGAAGCCACGAAGAGCCTCAAAGACCATGTCCAACTCTCAAAAAAACCCTCGAGTTTCTGGGCCAAACTTTGCATCCTAAGGCTTTGGAGTGAAGACTTGAGCCAGGCGACCGCCAGAATCGCCTCCGACTGGATCTCGACGGCAGGGGCTCTCAGTTCACCGCTCTGTGTGGGTTTAGGGGTTTAGGGTCTAGGGGCTTAGGGTGTAGGGTTTTCGGGTTTAGGGGCTTAGGGTTTAGGGGTTTGGGTTTAGGACCCAAAAGGCCAACACTTACACGTATGAGTCAACCCGGGCCTGTGGCCAGACATGAAGGTATAACTCCGGGCTCCCTAAGCATTGCGTCGTGGTTGCTGTCATGTCTGCTACAGCTGCAGCCGATGTCATAGCAATTGTTTAGAGTAGCGTCGCGATCTTGGTGGTACTGCTCCTGCTCCTGCTGCTGCTGCCGCCGCCACTTCAGCCAGGGCTTAGCAACCCTAAACCGTAGACCCCAAACCCTAATTTGAGGGCCAGAGTTTTTTGGTGAGCATGCAGCAGCGCTTTTGGGCGCGAGACCTGAGGACTTTTTAGAAGAAGGCTTGGAGGGTAATATAGGGGCCTGAATAATTACGTAAACCCTTTTTAGGGGTTCTTTATTAAAACCATGGTATATGGTATATTATACCCCAAAATCCTATTCTAATTATTAAGGCCCCTATATTACGGTACCCTGTTTGGGCTTTTCTGTCGACGTGGATCCCACTGTTTGAGGGTCTGCGTTGGGGTCCTCTATGTTCTGGAACCCCCAATGACTAGTTAAGCTCTGGACAACGATCACACTGACTCTGCGAACACCTCTTGGTCTGTCGAAGCCTGTGAGGTCTTCAATTCGCCGTACAACCTCGCCTTGCTGATTGGCTCCATCGCCCGCGCCCTGAGTATCGTGAGGGTCCACATCCCGAACTGACACCCTGAATCTAGGACACTTTCAGGTGGGTAGTTACGATTATAGGAGCCTTATAGAAGGTCTCGATATCTTATAGAAGCCTTATAGAAGCCCTATATACCCTAAACTCCCCACCTGTAGTTTCCTTTAACCTGAACCGTAAGCACCAGACCCTCCGACTCCAGACCCCCTGTGTCAGACGCTCTCTGCCCTGTCGGCCATGTTCGGGGATTGGTTGAACACCGAGGGCCCGTAGGGATCCTGGCAACCACCCCGAAGAAGGGGTTTGGGGTTTAGGGTTTAGGGCAGTTTAGGGGCAGTCCGAGACGGTGGCGAATCTTCCACGATGTCTCGCACAACCCTTACGATGCTTTTGTGAAAGCCTGACTTGGGAAACTGGGGGGAAGATTTGAAGGAAGCTGGGAATGCAGTCATGGCTAGAAGTCTGCGTCCTTGTGGGGTTCGGAGCACAGTTGGAATTTCAAGCATCGGATAAGCTTTGGGGTTCGTGCTCTAGCAGAAGATAGCGGAATGAGAAGGGCAAGGACAGGGCATTTCGGAGCCTCAGTGGTTGGCATCAGTAGTAAGAAAGCCTAAACCGTAAACTGCCGTAAACCCTGTGCTCTAAGCGCTTGCTTCGTCTCAATGATGTCGGCACCCTACACCCTAAGACCTAGTTCCTTTCTTGTGTGGTTCCTCTCAATCATGATGGCTCCCTGCAGCCTTCCGAGGTCGCTTGCCTCGGTGGCATCTACCTGGCACGCGGCTTACTGCTGTGCAGGGGTTTGGGGTGACTATGACACTATTATGGTTTGGGGTTTAGGGGTCAGGGAGTAGGCCTGGGGCCAGGGGGTAATTAGAGTATGAGATGTTGGGTTGGGTTTGAGAGCCTCAGACCATGGCTACAGGGCGAGCAGAGACTCTTCATTGCCATGTGGCAAAGAGCAGCCGAAGTGTTGGGAGGTGACGGGCTTTTGGTTGTGCCGCGTTCGTTTGAAAGAGCTACAGGGAGCGGAGTGAAACTCATGTTTGACTTTACATTGTCGTGAAAGCGTATGCCTTGACAATATCGATCAATATGTGTTTGCATTGCTATATATACATATATACATATATACATATATATATATATATATATGTATAAAAATATATAATATGTATTATATGTGTGTATATATATATGTTACGCATGTATTTATATATATATATATATATATATATATGTAAATTCTCCTCTTTCTCCTCACATAGCCATCCCTGCCACCACAGCCCAGACCAGCACAGCCATCAGCATGCAGCCGAAATGGGATTTGCGACAGGCACAACTGTTACCCAGTATCACAATTGCCAACTCAACCACCACCACTGCGGGCACCACTGTGACTGCTATCACCGCATGCACCGTCACTACAACGACGATAAGTGCAGCCACCAACCACCTGGACCACGGCAGTCGCAACATCGTCGCCATCACAACCTGCTTCACCAACATAGCCATCATCGCCAACGTCACCATCATAACACATGACACCCCATCACTATCGATGCCAGAGGCGCCACCAGCTTCGCCAACAGCAGCACCTACCATCAGCATACATCATATTCTTCTCTCACTGCAGGTGAGAGAGATGGCCATCCTGCTACGAGAGCAGCTGAACAAGCGTCTGGGAAGGTGCAGCCGCCAGTGGCCACGCCTTGTTTTTTTGGTGGATGCTAGAATGCATCGAACCTTGCTTCGATCGCTACGAATACTCGACTCTCGGCATTATGCTCGCCGAAGCCGGCTCCTGCATGATTGCAACACTTATTTGCAGCACGAGTAGGGTCCGAAAGCGACGAAGCTCAACAACCTTGATAAGACACTTAGATCCTAAACCCTAAACCCTAAACCCGAAACCCTAAACCCTAAACCCTAAACCGTCAACCCAGATCGGAGTGTACAGCCCCCCGAGTGTGTGTCTCCAAGCGTGCGAAACGCCTGAAGGCCGTCGCTGGTGCGAATGACCAACCGCAGAGGCAACAGCCAATCTAGTTGCCTCGGGGGGTTGGGAATCTAAGCATCCCTAAACCCTAAACCCTAAACCCTAAACCCTAAACCCGGAACCCGGAACCCTGAACCCTAAACCCTAAACCCATTATTCCGCAAAAAAGAGTTTCAGCGATTCCAGGAACTCAGGGCTTGGGGTCGGGTGCGGGTCGCCTGCAGACGGCTCTTCTGCTGCCGCGCAAGATAGGACCCAATAAGCCCTGGCCTACTATCCGATGGTTTATTAGGGTTTAGGGTTTAGGGTCTAGGGGGCCAGCGCACAGCTCGAACTCCATGGATGCCAAAAACCCTATGGAACCGGAAGCCGATACTATTCCCCCGATCCTCCTGCACCAAAAGCCCCATAGATCCTGAGATGAAACTCGACGAAACCAAAAACTCTTGACTGAGGGGTGTGAAGGATTCCGTAAGCCGCCGGGGACCGCCAGGCTACCCAAACGCCGATACCCGACCTAGCAAGACTGCGCAACCCGTAAACCCTAGACTCTTAAGCCTTACACTCGAAACCCGAAGCCCAGAACCCACAAACCCTGCAGACTTCATAGAGCTCTGGTAGAACCCTTGCCGAAACCTCTTCAAGAGTCACAGATAGAAACGTAGAACATCGATAGAAATCCTTAGAACGAAAACCCACACATCCGTGAGACATCCAAAGTTGTCGAGGCGGGATGCAGGAGTTTGGCATCGCCATTCTGCGTCTGTAGGGGGGCCGAGCTTTAGTGCTTAATCAGGTTTAGGGTTTAGGCTTTAATGGGTTTAGGCTAAACGGTTTAGGGTTTCGGCTTTAAGCGGGTTTAGGGTTTAGGCTTGCAGGGGGTTTAGGGCTTAGGCTTTAAGGGAGTTTAGGGTTTAGGCTTGTCAAGCAGGTGTAGGGCTTCGAAATGAGGGGAGAGTTTAGCGATTTGAGGGTTTTGGGGTTTCGGGTTTAGGGGGGCTTAAAGTTTCGGGCTTAGGGTCTAGAGTTTAAGGCTCAAGGAGGGTTTCGGGGTTTGGGGGCTTAGGGGCTAGGTGTGAGGGGGGCTTGGGGTCAGGGGGTTCAGGGGATCTAGCGTGTCGTTGCGCCTGAAACTCAAGCCCTGATTGTTAAGTTGTAAACCCTGAGCCCCAACTTCAAGTCCCATTCAAACCCAGATTCTTTGAAGCAACAGTCTCTCTCTCCCTCCCTCAGTCACACACTATAAACCCTAAACCCTGAACCCTAAACCCTAAACCCTGAACCCTGAACCCTAAACCCTAAACCCTGAACCCTGAACCCTAAACCCTCTCTCTCTCTCTCTCTCTCTCTCTCTCTCTCTCTCTCTGGCTGCCCGAGGCTTCGGCTGCGCCCTCCCAGAGGGGCAGAATTCAACGATGTGGTGCTGCATCCGAAGCTGAAGCAGCAGGCCTCGGGCTCCGGGGGCTATGAGGATTTAGGGTTTAGGGTTTAGGGTTCAGGGTTCCGGGTTTAGGGTTCAGGGTTCCGAGGTGCCGGGCGAAGACGACCAGGATGGCTATTATTATAGTTAGGGTTGTTAGTCTTATCGTTATGTCTTCTTGTGGTTATTGATTCATTCATGCATTCTTTTCTTCCTGTGTTTACTTTTTTCGTGATTTCTTTGTTTTGCAAATTCATATGATCCCTCTTCGTCATTTCTACTATCATGTCTTGGCACCATCGTACTTGTCGATGATTGCTGCTGCTGCCATGTCGGGCAGGTGATGCGACTCGCCGACGCCACCTCCTCCGCGAAGCGGCGGCGTCCGGGCCCCAGTTAGGGTCTAGAGTTTAGGGCTTACCTGCAGGGTCGGGGCACCTAGTACGTAGTTAAAGTATAGAGTTCTAAGTATCACAACCCCAAGTCGGATCCCTCTAGGCGTCCTTATACCTCAACTTGTTTACCAACTTACTAAGTTCCCCGACCCTCCAACTAGGGCTTGTGGGGCACTTCGGACAGTGCTCAAGTTCAAGAGGGCTGAGTTTGCAGGTTTCAGTTGCATGATTCAATCTTTGGCTGGGGACTTGGGGCAAGGCCGATGATCTGGCGTTTAGGAGCTGGGTGGAGGAGTTGGGGTGCTGTCTCCAGGTTGTTTCTGAAAGCTCACTCCGGTTCGAGATGCTTCGGCGCTTGTGTTTGGTGTGCGCGAGGGATTTTTGGTGTCGGCCCCTTGCGTTCGTAAGGTTCAGAGTCTTCGGGTTCCAAGCAGCGGGCTTACTTGATATACGATCTTGGGGTAGAGAGATCTGCGGGTATGGGCGCAGGAGGTTTCAGGTCTGGGCTTTGGGGTTTTGAAGGCAGTTCTACGCATGAAGGTGAGTTTGGAGAGCTCAAGAGGTTAAGGACCATTGTGCCTACAGCTTCCCTCTTTGAAGATGAAGGCAGACCTGGGCCTTTCGTGTCTGGGACGTGCATGCCTTCAGAGATACTATTGCCTAGATATAGGCATGCTCTACCCGGTAATCCCTACCAACCCCACCTACGGGACCCCCCCTAAGTCAAACTTCGACAAAGGCATGCCGCTTCAGCACGCCATGTTCTACGGCCCTCCCGGGACTGGCAACCAAGCTGCATGTGACCTTAGGCATTGCGTGTGTCCGTCACACGACCACTTCCCGCACCTGTAGGTCAGGTAGCCGACGCAATACTAGTTGTCATCGTCGTCGTCGTCGTGGTTGTCGTTGTGGCTGCAGCAATACGACAGCGACTACTGGCGCTGAGGGTCATCGTCATCATCGTCGTCGTCGTTATCATCATCACCACCATTTTCTTCGTCATCATCATCGTTGTCATCACCACCATCAAGTTTTCTGCTTGTCACCATCGTCATCATCCTCAACCACCAACTCCATCCTCGTAGCCAAAGAGTATCTCTCGTGCTTGCAGCCGCTGCGCGCGATAAGACCTTGCGGCAGAGGCTCATGGTCGACATGGAGTAATTACCGCTATTATTCTCTACGATTCTATAGTATACCCCCCCAAACCGTATTCTAACTATTCAGGCTCATATTAGCGTTCGCAAGATTCAGGCTTTACGGCTTGCCAGGTCCCCTGAGTAATTCGAAGAGTGTGAGGTTATGGGTCTTGCCTACTCGCTGCTGGGGTTTTGCTTATGTAAAGGTCGGTTTAGGGTTTAGGGCTCAGGGTTTAGGGTTCGGGGTGTAGGGTCTAGGGTTTAGGGTTTAGGGCTCAGGGTTGAGAGTTTGGNNNGGGGGGGGGGGGGGGGGCAAGATTTTGCTCCAGCTGGGAGGAGAGCACGGGGGTGCATGAATAGATGTCCATGCTCAGGTTAAAGACCTAAGATCCTCAATGCCATCCTTACTTCTGCCGAAGGCAAGACCATGGTCGCGCAGCGGTTTGCCGAGTATTCAGGCCTGCTCTGTTCCTACTTGGCCGGACGGGATATGCGTTTGCTCATCGATTCAACCGGAGAGGTTGAAGAGTTTGTTCTGCATGGACTGCTATGCAACCTGCCGAGTGGGTCGTTCTACGAGTGCAGAGCTTGAGCTGGGCTCAGAGTCTGCATTACAAGCTCTTACCCAAAGCACACGAAACCCAGAGCGGTAGCCTGCTTTCTCTTTTTGGGAGCAGGTCTCGAGTACGCGATCATGTCCGGCGGTGATGTCGCCCCGCTCGAAGAGCAGGCGGTGACGGAGCTGCACAAGCTCTTCAGGCCCGCCGAACCTCAGTGCGTGCTGTCCCTTTCCCCTGCCATAAGACTTTGTTTTAGTGGTACCGTTGTTGGTTGAGATGGTGGTTATCGTGGTCGTCGTCTCCGCCGTCTACCGTCGTCTCATGGTCGTGGTGCTTCTGCTGGCGGATGCTGTTGGTGGTGGCGGCGGGCACTGTTGCTCCGACTGCGAGCCAGAGCCATCACCATCCCTCAGTATCGTCTCGAGTTTTAACCAATGTCCGAGTCATCATCTTTTCTGCTATCTTGTCTCAGTAATCTTCACCGCCACCACCACCACCGCCACCATCCCCACCCCCATTCGCACCGCCACCTCCACCGCATCGGCATCACCGTCATTAGCAGCCTCCTCCTCCTCCTCCTCCTTCTCCGCCTCCGCCACATCATCACCACCGGCACCATCGTCATCATTGTCATCGTCATTGTCGTCGTCAGGCTCACCGTTCCAACCCTCATCCTTGTCGTCGTCAGCCTCAGCATCAGTAGCAGTGTCGTCATCATCAGTACTCGTGCTAGGCCTTTTTGTCAGCTCTGCTCTTGCCTACGGTGTCTCCTACAACCATGGTTGTAGTTACTGTACATCTTTTTTCTTACCTTCCCCAGCAAGAAGAGAGGTGGCAGCAAATTCTGTAATGTAGGAACCTGATTAAGAAACCCTGGCCCTATAACCCCAATGTATTAGGGTTCATATTAAGAACCCTAATAAAGAGCCAGGGTTTCTTAATCAGGTTCCTATATTAGGGAGCGCAGGGATAGGTCGGACCCTTCTTCTTGCATGTCGTCTCAACCCCTTTCGCAGCCCTCATGCGGAAAGGTCACCACCCGACGTCTGTGTATATCGACCAACGTACACAACCCCCGGAGGACAGGAACCTTAAACCCTAAACCCTAAACCCAGGCATCAGAGGCATGGCTCATCTAGACCCACCCATCCCAAGGCCGGACCAGCAAAGTCATGGCTGCAATGACCCCACAACCCGTTTCTCATTTGGCACGGCCTTCTATTGGAGTCCCCCTAGCGCCATCCCATCGCCGAGTCTTGATATTCTAAGGCACAACGCCCCGGAATCCCGGAACTCAAAACACCAAACCTCGATGCTGGAATTTCAGGCTTAGGACATCCGGGTTTAGAGACGACCTCAATACAATCCTGCAGGTGGGTGCATAGAAGCAAAAGAGGAGTGCTCCTCTTCATTGACGAGGCCGGGTCTGAGTTTCGCTTTATTTAATATAGGGCCCTTAATAATAATTAGAATAGGGTTTGGGGGTTTTATTAACTATAACTGCAGTACCCTTAATAATTAGAATAGGGTTCGGGGGTTTATTAACTATAACTGCAATGCCCTTAATAAGTAGAATAGGGCTGGGGGGTTTATTGACTCTAACTGCAATACCCTTAATACTTAGAATAGGGTTGGGGGGTTTATTAAGTATAACTGCAATACCAGTAATAATTAAAATATGGCTGGGGGGTTTATTAACTCTAACTGCAATACCCTTAATACTTAGAATAGGGTTTGGGAGTTTATTAACTATAACTGCAATACCCTCAATAATTAGAATAGGGCTTGGAGGTTTATTAACCCTAACTGCAATACCCTTAATACAGAATAGGGTTTGGGGGTTTATTAGGGTTTATTAACACTAACTGCAATACCCTTAATACTTAGAATAGGGTTTGGGGTTTATTAACTATAACTGCAATACCCTTAATGATTAAAACATGGCGGGGGGGGGGGGGCTTATTAACTATAACTGCAATACCCTTAATAATTAAGATATGGCTGGGGGGTTTATCAACTCTAACTGCAATACCCTTAATAATTAGAATAGGGCTTGGGGCTTTATTAACTCTATCTGCAATACCCTTAATAATTAGAATATGGTTTGGGGGTTTGTTAACTATAATTGCAATACCCTTAATAATTAGAATAGGGTTTGGGGGTTTATTTATTGACTATAACTGCAACACCCTTAATACTTAGAGTAGGGTTTGCGGGTGTATTATACTATAATTAGAATAAGGAACCCAAAACCCTATTCTGATTATTAAGGCCCTACATTAAGCCCCCTTGCGAAGTATCCTTCTGGGGGTTTCCTATATGACGAAGGAGGGAACCAAGTTGTTTAGGAGCCCTAACTAGCAGCACTACTTTATCGAACTCTATGAAGCATCATATAGAAGCCTGCAGAGTTGCCAGTATTCGTCCTTAGGGTTCCTTATCAGACTTAAAGCAAAAACACCCCCAAACCCTATTCTGATTTTGAAGGCCCCAATATTATGCAAAGCGAGGCTGCAAGAGCCCTCTTCCACTTGTCGAGGACGGAAAACCCCAAACCCAAAAACCTAGAAAGTGCATGCTGAACCCTGCTCCTAGGCCGTTGCTTTCCGTCTCTGTCAGGTTCTCTCTCTCTCTCTCTCCCTGTCTGTCTCTCCCTACCTCTTTCTCTTTTTTTTGTTTTTCCTAATTTTCCCTCTCTCTCTCTCTCTGGCGCTGTTGGTCCAACGGTAGCTTCAGGCTGTGTGCCCAACGCATACTCCACAGTCATGCCGAACGTTGCATCAAAAGCATCGAAAGAACAACTCGGTCACACGACCCTTCTCCGCCAACCGCCTTATCGGACCCTGAACACTTCGCCCCCAAGCCCGAACACCCTAAAGCCCAGAAGCAAAACAAAACATATTATGGAAGCTTCGGCACTTTTTGAGCTCATAAGATTAAAGGCCTGAAGTGGTGGTTTGGGATTCCAAGTTTCAGCCTCGTTCTCTTTTCGTTATATTTGGCGCATCTCCTCGCTAAAAACCTCCAAACTGAGGAATATCGGGCACCCTCTCAAACTAAAAAATATCGGGCACCCTTTCTATGATTAAGGAGATCTTGGGGATTCCGCTCTCATCTCTGACTCCTCTCTCTCTCTCTCTTGTGCGCTGGTGAGGCCGATGCCTTCTTGGCGTCGCGGAAGAATTCAGGCGCCTAAAATATGGGGGGCTTAGTAATTACCAATACTATTTTGGGGGCTCCTTAGTGCAATGATAGTATAATACACCCGAAAACCCTATTCTAATTATTAAGGCACCTTTATGTAACATAGTTCGCATCTCAGTTTAGAGGGTTTTTGGGATAAGACAACGAGAATGATGGTCAACGGTTGAGGGCCCAAGGGCATTAGAACATCGGGTGCAGGGTTTTCAGGTTTTGGTTTGTGCTTGCATTCTCAACATTTATTTCCTGGTTCTCCGGCGTGTTTTTTTTTGTTTAGGGCGTGGCAGTGTCTTGGTTTGGTTTGGGGCAACCCAATCAACGAAGAAGCTGGCTTGTTGGGGTGGTCACAACATTGATCGTGCGATTTGGGAGATGCAGCCGCATTCATGGGTACACCCTGCCGACCGTCTGTGGAGGCATGAGTGAAAGCTTGAGAAATGCACTGACCACGACGCTTGGCAGCAAAACACCCTAGACCTTGAACTGCCGAGTGCCGAGTTCAGAACCGGAGGAATTGCGGCTGAGTTTTTGCTACCAACTACGACCTGTGAAACAGAGAAAGAAAGAGAGAGAGAGAGAGAGAGAGAGAGAGAATGAGAAT